CAACTTTTTCTAGGAGTTTGGAGATGAATGGGAGGTTTGAAATGGGTCTGTAGTTTGACAGAGGTTCAGGGTCCAAGGTGGGTTTTTTTAGGAGGGGTTTAATGAGGGCAGTTTTAAGGGTAGATGGGACGGTACCCGTTTCCAGCGAACTGGCTATTATTTTGGTTATGAGATGACTAATGGATTGATGGTGAGTTTTGAGCAGAGGGGATGGGAGGGGATCTAAAGAGCAGGTGGATGATTTAGATTTGCGGATGATGTTCTCGACCTCCTGCTGCGTTGGCAGAGAGAAGTGTGATAGGAGTTGTGTGGGAGATGTCTCAGGGGTATCAATAGTGGTGCTGTTTGAAGGTGAAAGTGAAGAGCGGATGCTGTCTATTTTTGATATGAAGAAGTCCAGAAACCGGTTGCAGTTTATATCTGTGTGGTTGTAGAATGAGGAGACCTGTGGTTTGAGAATATGGCTGATTGTGGAAAAGAGTTTTCTGGAATTACCTGGGTTATTGTTGATGAGCGAGGAGTAGTAATTGGACCTGGCCTTGGAGAGGGCTGTTGCATAATTTCTGCGATGTTCCCGGTAGGCCAATTTATGCACCGTCTGGCCAGATGTTTTATATGCCCGCTCCAGGACACGGCCAGACTTCTTCATTTGCCTTAGCTCTTTGGTGAACCAAGGAGCGGAACGTGTGAATGTGACAGTCCGGGTTATTACAGGAGCATGAGTATCCAGGATGGAGTTGAGGCTTGTGTTGTAGAAGTCCATTAAGTCACTGGCTGATGAGTGGAGAGGGGGAAAGATGCTGAAGATGTGAGCTGAAGGATGAGGAATCAATGTTTTTGATGTTTCTGAAAGTGATATGGCGTTTTGGTTTGGTGAAAAAGGTTATTGGGAGTCTAAATGTAACTGCCAGGTGATCTGAGACACCAACATCGTATATGTTGATGCTGGTGAGTGGAAGGGAGTCAGTTATAACAAGGTCCAGAGTATGCCCTTTGCTGTGGGTGGGGCCATCTGTCAGCTGTTGAAGATTTAGACAGTCCAAAACCTGTTTGAATTCGGCAGCTAGACGGGAAGTGTGTGAGTCCATGTGTATATTGAGATCACCAATTACAAGAATATTTGAGTGTGCTGTGCAGAGAGAGATTAGGAACTGATGAATGTCAGAAATGAAAGTTGGTTGTGGTTTAGGGGGGCGATATATGACAGCTACTGTAGCAGAGAAAGGATTATTGCATTTAAAAACAAGGCTTTCAAAGGAGGAAGCACCGGGTACAGACAGGAGGGACACTGCAAAGTAGCTGCGAAATAAAACAGCAAGGCCCCCACCCCGCCCAGTTATGCGAGCTTTGTCCAGGTATGAGTACCCTTGTGGGCAGGCCTCATTCAGGGAGCTGTAGACACCGGGCTGTTGCCAAGTCTCTGTGAGGCAGAGAATGTCTATTTCTTTGTCCAGAATGTGATCGTGGATGAATCCGGATTTCTTTGACAGTGACTGCACATTAAGCTGTTCCATTGTGATGTGGGAATTTGAGTCCAGTTTATGCAGAGAGCGGAGAACGCTGAAATCCACTCCAGGTCTTCCAGTTCGCCGGTCCAACTCAGCCATATCTGAGGTAGGCATAGCGGCGCTCAGATGACGCAGATGGTGACGTACCTGTTGCGCGACAGGACGTGATGCCGACCAGAAGGATGCGATGGAGCTGTGGTCACCGCGTTTGGACATTACAAGGCGGCGCCCGGATCCCCGGTGGATGTAACGGGGTCGACGTGGAAGATCCAATGGAGCTCTGTTGATGTTGAGAATCCGAAGTGGTTGTATCGTGGTGTCGATGGGCAACAAGTGGCGTGATGGTGTGCCGGTGCTAACAGTTAGCCAGGATCCAGGTGAGCAGCGGTGGAAAAAAGCCATACCCAGAAGGATGATCCACAGCTTCAACAGAGGTGGTGTTCCATTCACAGACCTCCGCTGGAAGGCGGAGGCACTGGAAGATTTATGAAGACTGATGGTGCTGATAGGACTCTGTAAACAGAAGAGTTGCTCCGGCTAACTCTGTTAGCGTAGCCAACCCAAACAAGTTGCCACGGGCTAACAGGCCGACGTGCAGAGATAATCCAGGGAGGGCATGAAGCACTTAGACATCTCCGTAGGAATAATCCAGTTTGATGGAAACAAAAGGAAGCAGCAGGATTGGGGGATTTGAAGCCCAGAGAAAAGGACGATTCACTTAGCAAGCAGTGTCCAGCGTAGTGACAGGTAAGTCCAGGGTACCACAACAAATTCGGTGTGTACTACAAAATAATCTGTCTCTTACTGTAGTAACTGAGTTCCCAGAATACGGTACAGTAGGATGGATTTTGCAGAAAAGGACAGATTTTGACGGATTTGCAGAGAAGCGGCAAACAGCCAACGCCAGCGTCCTCTCTGCCTGGACCCCCCAGGCAGAGAGTCTGCCTGGGGTCTGCCTGAAGTCTCTTCCCATAGGGCAAAAAAAGAGCACTGTCCATGGTGGGGGCATTAAGGGTCGCTGATGATGTTATGGGCTGGAGACATGCAGTGCTAGGATGACATAGACACAAAGTACGTAGGAAACCGTCTTTTTTCAGAATTAGAAAATAGGTGGAATAGAAACCTTTATCCTGCAGATGTGGTGGAACCACCCCTATAGCCACTTTAACCAGCCAAGCTCCAGGCAACGCTCGGCTCTGCTGCCAAAGCTGTGGAGAAGCAATGTTCCGAAAATGACACTGTGGCTCCCGTATGTCATGTTTCCATTGTGGAGCGGGGGTCCCATGGTACCACTGAGACCACACTAAGCTTCAGGGGCCTAGACTGGGCTAGACTGCAGACAGTGTTTCAGTGCCATCTATGCATCTGGTACAAACAACCAGCCTGGGAACTTCACAGCCTATGTCAGCTATGCCTACAGTCGTCCGAGATCAGGGCTTGTGTCCATAGACCATATGTCTTGTGATCACCAATTGGACAAAAGGTGACCCAGCTCCCTCAACATGAGCCTATAGGCCTGCAGCGCTGCACCATTAGTGTTGCCCAATGCTGCCCTTGCCATGCCCGCCTGCAGCACCTGGGACTGAGCCAGCAGGAGAACGGAGAGCAAGTTCCCGATGAGTGCTAAGTGAGCTGTGTGTATGCTTTGCACAAAAAGTCCTCCATCACCCGACACTGGGCGCCTGGCTGTTTTCTTCAGTGCCTCAACTGGGGAAAGAACCAGAGAGGCAATGCAGTGGTCCACTGGGGGCATGTGGTCCAGAACATAGTCTGCAGGGTTGTGCATAGATCATGCATCCTTACCATGGTGGGAGAGGTGCCTAGGATCTGACCAACAACTTTGAAGCTCCTCTAAGATGGCTGGAGACGGAGGAACCTTGAACGAGGCACCACTGGGGCCCTGCAGAAAAAGGGATTTCCGGCAGTACGGGATGTTTGAGTGTCATACAAGCCATCTCTGGCCAAGGCTGCCATAATAATCGCGTAATAATTGCAGCTGACATGGGTCCTACACTGGGTCAGAGCTAACTGAACTCCTGAGAGAATTTCCCAAACCATCCTGACCTTCCAAACTCTGGGGGTTCCAACTCCTGCCCACGAGGGTCAGGGAAGAGATCTCCTTGCTCCCCCAGGGACTGGAACTCTGAATAGGAGGCCCTCACAGAGATTCTATCCTCCTCCAGGTCCCCTCCTCCAATTCCCTGGATGCCTCTTGGGGAACAGAATTGGTGACTGAAACCTTGAGTAAGGCTTTGAGCTGCTCCACCACAGGCCTCAGAAATTTCCCTTCCTGGTGATATGGGCACTCGTGCTGAGATGGACGGCCCAGCCGAGGCCTTTCCCTCTGCTGATTATGGCGCTTTTCAGCTAGCGTATCCTGGAACACATTGAGGTGCACCTGAGGGGGCCAACTCAGCTGCAAAGGGTTCTCTGTGTTATGCGGCCAGGATCCACTCATCTTTCCCTCTGATCTTTACTAGATTTAATAACCTGATTAAAATTTTCCCTTTTTTTTCTAAGGGCAGATCTGATAACCTATGAGTTGGTTAAGTTTAGTGACATCAAATGTATTTAAAGCAGGGATCTTCAACATTTTCCAGGCCAAGGACCTCCAAACTGATAACGAGATGGAGCGGGGACCCCTAATTATATATATTGTTTGAAATTGTGTTATATCAAACTGGTGCTACAGTCAATCTATTACAGATGGAGTCATGTAACAAAAGTAATTTCTCCCTAGGATTCCTGGTTGATGGGACAGGTGTTGTGAATGAAAAGGCGCCCAATTTGAAAGAGCTCCTGTGTGTCGCTTAATGTGTGCATTGATGACTGAAAGACATCTTCTGCCTCCATTTATCTGTTTACTACAGTGTGTTGATTTCATTTTAATGTTTATGTAAAGATATTTCAATTAGTGGAAAAAATTGCAGGGGGGGGAATATAAAAAAAAAAGTCTAATCAACCAAAACTTTCGCGACCCCCATGTAGTACCTCTGTGGACCCCCTAGCGGTCGCGGAGCCCCTGTTTAAGACCTCCGATTTAAAGAGCCTGATGGATCTATATGTGCAGACAGAGATTTTTCAGGATGAAATCCTGCTGTTCTGTCAAAGGGGAACTTGACAAAGACACCAAGAAGAACGGGTATGTCCAGACATGACAGAAAGACTCACACTAACAGTCTCACATACCTGGCAACAACAGGTAAACTGCTGTTTAATGAAAAAATTTTCTGACTGAGACGGCTCCTCCCTGAATGAGCTGAATTAGAACAGACTGGGAGAAAGGGACAGAAACTTACCGCAAATGGATTAGAAGAAACACATAAAGATAGTTCTTCATTAGCTTTGGTACAAGAAAAGATAGATTTTTTTAAGACTACATAGAACATCCTGAACGGGATCCATTTATTAGTGTAGAAAGCAGATGCATGATACATGTATACATATTACACAGACAATGCTCTAGATAAAATCCTGGCTGTTTGGTCTTACCTTTCTCTGAATCTGTGTTTAAACGCAGCACCTGAACAGCTAACGTCTCTATCAACAATGTTCAGCAACTGGAGCCTTTCTCTATCAAATATTTGCTCACCCCTAGCAGGTCAAACCGGCTCTGAAGGGTGCGCCCCATTCAAAATAAAGGTGTGTTTAAAGAAGGAAGGGAAGAGACCTGGATTGTAGAGCAGGAGGAGTTGGACTGTAGCTGGAAGGCATTGTGGACTGGGTTAGCTTCCACCAAGGCATGTCTGTTATTTTCACTGAAAACAGCCTTCTAGGACTTTTTCCACCAGTTCATAATGGTTTTGAGTAGAAATATACAGAGGATGTTGCAGGGAACTAGTCAATGCGTTCAGTACTTCAAATTGAATTGTAAAATTTCGACAAAATATCCATTAATAGTTTAGCAGATCCAATGTTCTGCAGGTAGAGAACTGAAAGAAGAGGCCATATTACTCCTACTTTTAATTAACTAATTATTAAATCCACAATAGAATTCAAAAAGTTTTTCTTCTCTCCTCTTTACTTTTCCACATGGTTTGAAGCCAGCTTTCCACAAAAAGCTGCTCTATTGTGACCCTTGTGAGCAAAGCTTAGAGGACAGAGCGCCCAGTCTGCTGAATGAAGCTGTTGTAACCAGAGATCTGTAGACAGGGGTGGGGGGGTGGGGGGTATCTAAGGCATTCATCAAAACCCTTGGGTTAGTTTACAGTTACCTTGATGATCTTTTATTAATCACATACAATAGTAGCCATTCAAAATTTCCCCACTTTCCTTAATGGGCCCTTCGCTGGTCCTTGGCTGGTCCTCTACAATTCCTATTTAAACATACATGTTTGTACTTAAATATTCTTGCTGTCATGATTAGTGGACATTAAGATCTAAAGAAAAGTGTCATCTCCAGGTCAGACCCTGTAATTCAGTGAAAAGATCATGCCCAGGAGAAGGCCAGTGGTTGGAAGTTGGAGGTGATTCTGCTGGGAGTTGGACGGGAGTGGGCTACCATTCGTCTGGCTAGAATAGCCTCCAAATGTTAGCATGATAATAATATTAACTGAACTTTATTGATCTCACACTGACTGGAGATATTTACCTCTAAATATAACCAATCCCCTTGGGGAGCAGTGGGCGCCCGGGGAGCAATCGGGGGTAAAGGGTCTTGCTCAAAGAGCCAGAGTGGCAGTCTGTGGAAGTGGGTTTCGAACTCACAACCTCAGGATTTCAAACTCTATGCCCTAACCATGAGGCCGCCACTCCCCATGATCAATTAAAACAAGTCGACACATGAAGTCAGGAAAAAATTTCTTCATTTTCCATAGTAGAAAACTATTACTTAGAGCTGTACATAAAAACATTACTTTCAAAATAAAGTATAAAACAATATAAAATAGCAGGAAACTGGCCATCATGGCTCATTTCTAGCAGCTCATCGTATTTACAGTGTTTTGTTGTGAACCAGAGGAGCAGAGATGGAGGACCCTGCTGTCAGCTCTGAGCTCAGAGATCTACTGTCTGGATGTCGCCTGCTTCGTCGTGGAGCTCTGAGCCGGAGCCGTTGTCGTCTGCACAGCTTCAGTCTTCCTGAGCCTAAACCAACACCACAGACGGTCAGAATGACAGCAGAGATTTCCCAAACAGTCACAATATCAGAGCACAGAAACTCCTCAAAGATGGAGCCTCTCAGCTGATCTTACTTGTTTTTGTGTCGGTTCAGAATAAGCTGTCCAATGTGTGACTTTGGATCCAGACATTTCTCCTTGTCTGCCACTTTAACACTAGAGGAAGAAAAACAGCACAGAAGGAGCCTATTAGAGACCGACAGAGGAAAACTGCAGAGTGGATGTCAGCTTTGTATCACTCAGAAGCTGAGATGTAGACCTACATGATCTCATATTGTGGGCAGAAGGTACTGGGCTGGTAAACCACTGGTTCCTTCTGGATGCTCCGCAGTTTGACCCTGCTCAGGAGGCTGTGGGAACACTTGCATTTGTTCGACCTGTAGGCTGGTTGTCCTGTGGAAAGAAGAAGCACAGACCTGTCAGATAAAAGGAACCCAAAGCAGAACATTTCTTCTCTCCAAGCTCTTCTGTTTATCATCTCACACACTCAGCTGGTCTAACACGACCCAAAGGCATCCCACCCAGCAGGTTTCCACAGTACCTTGTGCAGAGAGGAGAAGCAGGCAGGCAAGGAAACCAAGGAGAGCAGACTTCATGTTGTGGCTTCAGAAGGCTTCAGGTTCAGTCCTCCTTGGTGTCTGATTGTAGTCTGGACTGCTGACACTCTCATGCTCCTGTTTTATAGCGGACGACTTCTCTAAACTCCTCTTTGCAATGTGATGCAAGAGTTTCATTTTCCTCTGTGTTTCGCTTTCTTTGACTCTTCCTTTTTCTTTCACAAAGCCTGTTTCCAAGAACTGCCTTTTCTTTCCAGATTTTTATGAAAACTTTTTTTCTCCTCCAAGCTGTTTTTTTTTTTTATATTTACAATTGACCAGCAAATAAAAATCTTAAAGCTCTTAAATTACCAACACTGTGCAAACTTCAGGATAGCTTCAGCTCTACAAAATCATTAAGATCTGCTGAGGGTGCAGCAGCTGCATCTATGCAGTGAATCAAAGCCTCATAGATCAGTGGTTCCTAATCCTGATTCTCAGGGACCAAAGCCCTGCATGTTTTAGATTTTTCTCTGTCACAAAAGAACTGATTCAAGTGATGACATGACCTCCTCATCAGCCATCAAGTGCTGCATTCATTCATATTAGAAATGTGTGTGTGGCAGCAAGGAAACACGTAAACATGGGTCCTTGAGGATCAGTATTAGATGATTTAGGAGATAGATATTATTTAATCAGAAAACTTTCTCTGCAACGCTTCTGCATGATGAAGTTCAAAAGGACTACAGGCCAACAAAAAAGTGGTTCCAACAACTGGACTGAGGAATACCAGGCTGAGAGTTACAGCTTTTTTTTAAACAAATTTGTAGCTATTTGACTGGTTTATGCTTTTCTGGTGCTGATAACACCAAGGTCACAGGCTGAGGTGCAGGGTGCTAATGTTAGCAATCAGGGAGTGTACTAGAGAGGCCCTTAGACCCCTGGTTCAACCTCTGGGTCCCTGAGTAAGACCCTAAGCCCACAATGCTCCCTGCCCAGGGGCTCCAAGCTGCTTACTGATGCAGAGGCTAAATGCAGAGAACCAATGTGGTTTTCATGTACAATTACAATAAAAAATAAAGGTTATAATTATAATTCTATCATTAAAATAGCATAAAGTCACCAGCAGAATCAAAGGTTTCGCAAAGCAATCGGTTTATGCATCTGTTTTCCACTTTCCTGAAGTGTTGAACAGTAGAACAGTTTGTAGTAACAGCTGAGAGATGCAGACCTTCCAAAGTCGCATCTTGTTCATGCAGATAGGAGCTTCTAAAGAGGAGGTGCTGGAAGGAAACCTCTGTGTGTCTGAAATTGACTTCTACTGGAAGACTCACAATTAGTGCAAAGAAACTAATTTCAGACGTTTTTCTATTTACAAGAAAATTAAAAGAAAGGTTTTGTTGGATCTTATTTAATTTTAGCATAAACTTTCTGAAAAGATTCACTACAAATACAATGAAAGGAGAGTTTTTCATGAACGGGAAGTAAAACTAAAACCAACCAGACGAGGGAAAACACCATCCGCAGTATTAGCCCTTTAAACCTAATAAAGACCAAAGGGTTCAAATCTAAGGATAAAATCCTTATTTCATGGAAATGAGACATCTGGTCTGAAATCAGACACATTATTCTGTAGTTTTAGACGCATAGAAACAAAAATATGTAGAGAAAAAGTTTAGAGTCTTTTATATCATTGAAATTAGTTAAATTAATATAAAACTGCTGTGACAGACAATATTTCCATCAGTTTTAAACCCATTTTTGTTCATGTTGCAGCAGGAGAGTGGTGATTTTTTTTTTTATATACTATTATTTTAATCCTGTTTTTTCCGAAGATGCTTTGCGTTATCCATATTGTCTTAAGAGCTCCACGCTGCCCTTTGACACAGTTTTAAGTCTTATCCTACTGACTGTGTTTAAGGACTTGGAGTCAGAGGAGATTGAGCCTAATGTTGATAACGGACTAGTTTAGGCTAGAAACAACTTACCGCCTCCCCCTTAACTAAGTGGTGGTCTCCCTCTTTGATACTGTTGTTGGAAAATTTAGATTTCTCTTTTAATTATATATTAATCTATCCTATTTACTCACTATAAAGGTTTTCACTCAGTCTGTTTCACTTGAAGGCCACACCATTCTCTGCAGGATGGTGTTTGTAGACCAGACATAGCTTCTTCCCATAACAAACCAGATTCTTTCTCAAGGTTTATTCATAACATGTTACTGTTTAACCAAAGTGTCTGTAATTTGTTTTGCCTCTGACCACTTTCCATTGTTGTAAGTAAGGAGGGACGAACGCTGCTCGTGCAGAACAGGGCAGAATGCTGTGCCATTAGGGCTGTATGATGAACTTTTCTCTCTTTGCAAAGATATGAATAAATGTGCCGACTGAGTGAAATCCATCGATCTCCGTTTATTTAACTGGGGTGAATAGTTGATTACTTTTTTTCCCACGACAATAAATAAAAATTCCACAACAAGAGAAAAGAATAAAGAATCATTACTATCATCACGGAAACATAATGCAATATTTTTAGATCCCTTAGATCAGAATGCACTTAGATAGAAAACAGACAGAAAGATAAAAACATGAACATTTTAAGACACTTCAGAAGGAAAAGTGGAGCACTTACAGCAGCTGGAAAACATCTCGAAACACAAGCAGGAAATTATGTATTTAGTTTTTATTTGGGAGGCACCAAATTAATATATATAAATAATTTGTTTTTGGACTTTAATTGATGAGCAGAGGAGCAAACCTGGTCTTTGTGCTGAACTGTGGGACAGCAGTGAACATTTAAATAATCTCCTCCTCTATGATGCTCTAGGGACAGTCCTATTTAGCCCACATGTTAGTAAATGTGTGAGCAGGTTTGAATCTGAACCTGACCTTGACTACCACTAGGTGGGGTTGCAGCACATGCTAATGTAGCATCATCTGCTCTGTGGGTTTTAGTTCTACTTTAGCAGATTTCTTCTTGATACCTTCCTGTTTTCT